GCAGCAAAACCAGCTTACTGAATGGAATACTTGTATTCCCTAAGACACGACGTCTGACTTCACTGTTGCAAATGTGTTGTTACCACCACACCCGAGCAATCCTCCTCAAGCACCCGTTACCGAAGTTCGATAGTCCGCGCATGTCGTCTACGCGCACTAGCCATGAATCGCTTCCGTATGGCAACACCGCCCGAACGGTGGCATTGTAAATACGGCCCTTTACCAAAACAGAAATATCTCGACGACACCACAAGTGCTGTAGGTTGACAAACGCCGCCAGAGCTTTGGCGATGCGAAGACAAATTTCCCTTCTAATGGTACCACCAGCAGACACACAGCTGCCAAGTGGACAAAGCTATTCAATTTTTCAAGCTGTGTACCTTCAAGATCGAGCACGAAAACACTTGAGTGCCTATCCTAAAGCAGCACTTTACACTTTGACGTGGCAAAGCACATTCAGTACCTAGATACCTCAATCGCCCAACGGTCTAGAATGGTTTGCATGCTCTGTGAGTCCTCACCATGTAAGGCGATACCATCAGCATATTATAAGTGGCTTTCTCGCTTACCCGGTAATAGCTGTATACCAAAATTTTGGCAACCGTCTAAAGCTCTCGACAGGATGTCTTCAAACACAAAATGGAAGACGAACGGGGACAGAGGGTAACCCTGTCGTATAGCGTTAATAACAGCGAAGAGCGATGAAAGCATGCCATAGACCCTAACTATGCCAGAGATGTAAAGATAGAGTGAGCGAAGAATCGCAGTGTATTTTTCTGGGACACCGTTCCTTAACAAACAACGCCACAGTGCAGTTCGATCAACCGAGTCGATTGCGGCAGATGTCCACGAATGCATCGATGTTAGGTCTCTGGTAAAGGTGGCGGTGTTCCAGGATTTGGCGGAGTGTGAAGGTCTGATCCACACACCAACGGCCAGGTCGGAAGCCACCTTGTTCTTCTCAGTACTGCGATCCGCGATTAGGAGATAGTCAACGGAGTAGAATGGATGCCAATCACTTGGACGCAACCGAAATGAGACTACTCCCCTGGTACTTGGTAAATGAAACGCAAGCACCCTTATTAAAAATCGGAGCAATAAGTGACTCTCCCCAGGAAGAAGACACCTTTCCTTCATGCCAGATTTTGGCGAACAATGAGGTTAGCTGGGTAACGATAACTGAGCCTCTATATTTGAACAACTCCAGAGGAAGTCCGTCTGAGCCGGAAGTCTTGAATCCTCTTAGGTGTCCAATCGCAAGACAAACTTCCGCTTCGCTGGATGGATCAAGTGTGACGACCCAGCATGGTCAGCTGGGTTTGCAGGGTATGCAAATGGACGGTGAGGGCCAATTGAACTGGGAAGAAAAACGTTCGTCTCCTTCGGTCCAAGCGTCTCTGTAGGTTGGCAATCGGCGAACCATCCGCTTCGCATATAGTCTCACTGACACCATGCTTTCTGTGACCAGTGGATCAAATGAGGTGGAAGAGATTGCGAGTACTGTCAGCGAGGGCAACGGCCACAATTTCTGAAGCACGCTGGGACCACCAGGCTTCATGGTCAATGCGTAGGCTTTGTTTAAGCTGCCGACTGACAGAATGGCGCACTTCATCATGATTAGACTCCACTGCGATGTTCTTGCGGTGGTCAAATAAATCCAAAGAGCGCGTGGAGATCCAAGTCTTCATAGGGTGCTGAGTAAGACCAAAGATTTGCTGTGTGGAAGAGATCATGATCCTCCGCATGCACGTTCAATGTTCATCAATATCTTGCGGTGGGTCGCAGTCGAGTGCATCAGCTAAACAGAAACAGTCGATGGTTTATTTGTGTCATCTTACATCGCTTCATTTGCGATGACCCTCCAAAACTCATGCAGATGTTCGCACTGACAACAGCATTGTCTGAGTCAAGAAAAGCGGACCAGGTGGATCTGCGATCCTTTACACCACCCTTCCATTTGAAACTCGTTGCAATATGGTCAATCTGAGACCATGATTGAAACGCAGAAGGGGGTCGCCAAGTAGCGGAACGTCTCTTCGAATGTCGAAAGTTGGTGATCGAGAAAGACGAGTATCTGCGCACAGTGTGAGAAGTCTCTTTCCAATATCTGAGCATCTCTCATCAAGCGCAGGGTGAACACTGAGGGGATTTTCGCATGCCAGCAGACGATCGATCCGTGTGTTGAAATTCCCAGCAAGGACAACAATGTCAGATTTGTAGGCTGTGCTCAAGAGCTGATGAAGTTCCCGGTAAAAATCCTCCTTAACGGAGCCGGAACTGCAGTTAGTTGGAACTTAAGCTAAGATCACAAATAAGTTTTGTCTCACCCCACTATATCTGTTTATCTTGCATGATCCCCGAAGCCGAACTGCACACGCTCGGCTATTAATCTGGAACCAGTCCAGCAATACTGCGTCGACTTTCCTAGTTAGCGGTACACCAACACCAGCCAAGCCTGCCGCAGCTGCTTCTGCGTCACCAGATAGACGTAGGTGAATTATGGATCCGTGGTCGGTGGGAGCTCTCAACGCCATCACAGTACTGGGATCTTGTAAGGGGGTTTCTGAACCACAACAAACTTCGATGGCGATGAATTCCAGGGTGCACAAAAGACATGCTTGCTGCCCCATCTACGTGAGTGTAGGCAGATTGAAGCACATCAGACGGAATGAAGACCGAAGCCTAAGGAGTGCGACTGGGCGAGCACTCTGGGTGTCGAGGAAACCATCCGGAGTAGAATCATGAAAACAAGAACCATTTGGTAACGGATAATACCGATTGGTAACAAATGAACAGGTGGCGTGTGAAAATGAGCGACTAGCAGAAGCAAAAGCAGCTGAGAGCGATATTGCAGTTGAACAATTCATGTGAGAGTCCGCAGAGGACCAAACGGTAAATATAGCATTAATCATCTTGACTCTCTGCTCCTTCGCGATTTTCCGTAGATGCTTCATCCATTCTCTCAGTCCTAAAACGTATTTTTGGTTAATTGTCTGAACTCGCATTTTAGGCCACTCCATTGGTCTATTGACCAGCTTGTTGACTAGACGGCCTCGCACAAACCATACGTTAAATAGATTTGCACATGCATATAAAACTTACCTCGACTGGAAAGCTATAACACGGTGCTCAGATCCACACTTTTTACAACAATATCTACAAAGGTCACAACCATCGGGCCGTTTTCGACTTATCCGTCGTTTTCCCCCAAGTATTTGAATCACTTATAAACAGAAGTATTAGGAACTCCATAAGTCGTATGCCTTGTTCGTTCATGATGTGAGCGACACACCTCATAAGGTTTGCAGCTTCCTGTAAGCTTTGTAGAGTACGCTATCCATGCTAGGCAACCCTCGTTAAAACGCGATCTGGCTGCACTGGAAACCGCACAACGAACGACAACGAAAAATGTGAAGGATTTTTCCCATCTGCAATACTATAGGCGACTGACAGCCCTGGGAGTGTACAGCTGAAGATATTGCCATCTAGGGGGTGACCACATCCAGGCGTGCCAGATTTTGAAAAACCATGGTCACGCTTGCCGCCAAATCCTGAAGCTTAGCTGCAACACAAAATTAAGGAGTCATAACTTGAAACTTGCCACCAACACAGTCGACTGAGTGCAGCCGGCATATTTTTCCTTTCGTGTTTGTCAACCGTGGAACGCTGTTTCGACTTTTGTCTTTTCAGCGCCCAGCTTACCCATTTTTAACAAACGAGTTGTTGACGCTTTACACCATTTACATTAATTGATATGATTTCTATTCATTGAGTGAGGACAAAACGCAGACAAACATTGTGCTCAGCAACCATACATGATCGGGGTAGACGGATATACTTATGCGTTAACGTGGATATTATGGTGAGTCCACATATGTATTATTCACTATGTATAAGTTCATTGAACTAACCTTATTCTCACAAACCATCCCACGGGATTTGTGAAGCCTTGACTTTTTAATCCATATTATATCATTGTTCCATTGTGCACACTGACGGCTTGCATGCGGACAATGCAGTTCTTGCAGGTCCAAAGATCGCGGTTCGGATCGTGCACAAGGTTTGGTCCGCCCGGTGAGTTACAATGCCCTGAGCTAAATCTCACTTTAGCAAACAGGTATGTGACTGGATATGTGCGACGACAAACTATGCTCGTGGTTTACCGATAAAACCCAGCATGTATGGATGGTGGGTAATAAAACTAAAAACATTAGAATGAAGTCATAGACAGCGGTAGTCGGGCTTGAAGAAGAATCGACACCAAGCACTCGGTCCCAATGGCACATGAAAGCAAGGCGAAGACTGATTTTGTTGGTGTTTCTGGGTCCCCATCGAGTAAGCTAGGGTGTGTAAATCTAACCATTGTCAACTCGACAGGTGAAACGGTATATGAAATACCTAAAACTAGGTATCGTGTACTTGTAACACTCGTCCGCTGGATTCGTCCGTTATCTTTCACAAAACCGGAATTAGAAGTAGGATAATGCGCGCAGCCATTGACGGATAGCACCCAAATCACTAATCCACTGAGCCCGCAAGCAACATTTGTCCTATTGGTTGTGATTTAACGGTTGGACATTTTTGATTACCCGTGGAATCTTTGTACTGTGGCACACAGTCTCAATGGCAACGCCTCACAGCATATTCATCTGTATGGAAAGTAGGCAAATTCTTATCACTTTACCACCTACTTAGCTGGTTTGCCTCTCTCTTCGGGTCGATGGTCTAACCACGACATTATTCCGCAAGTCAACGAAATCGATAGTGTGATTTCGGCGACAACCATAAACCGGTGACCAGAATCAACCTCCGCAAATATTTGCAAGTTACGCTGCCTGGTGGCATCCACAAGGCTAGCGGAGGTTGGCTCAGGCACCCACTTACCCCGGTCACATGATCAGCGAGCTGTGGATGCGGCCAACTATAGGAGCCGCGTGGGTTGTGGACAAGCGCAGACAGCCCAGCTACGTTTGTCTCCGTCCTACCATTAACATTGATGGTAAATGTCCGCTTTAGGTAGATGCACTTGCGTGTCTGTCTGTCCGGGATTGCCGATTTCGCACCAACCAACAGTGCCGACAGGATTCCGTATTAAGGTTTCGCGCATTTAGCCAGCCGTTGACATAGTCTGGACTTTCGGAACTACCTCGCGTTTGAGTTCCGCATAGTTTGAATACATTCCTGAATGTGGCAACGATGTTAACTGCACCCCTCACAACGTTCGTGTTGGCTGTCACCCTTTGGTCGAGTGTTCACGGTAAGCACAGTCGCATAACATCAGCAACCGCTGTTATGTATTATAATGTAACGATTTGCTAATTTAATCGCTACGTTTCGTATGTCGTAGGGAATCACACCGAAAAAATAAGGGGAGTTAAGTGTTGTAAGCTGACATGCCTTTATGGACCAGTTTTCACTGAACGATTATTAGCGTTTCCTGTTGTACATCTAACGAATGGGATGAAACACTAAAATAATGCTATGAAACTAACTGCCATAATAATCGTGTCAATTATTGTCAGTTACTTCATTATGTTATACGGGCTAGTTCATATATTTTGACCTTGTTCCACTAATTCAGTACGCATCATACAAATTGTGCTTCGTAAATCACATCTCCGAGGCTGTGTATGAGGCCTGTGTGACAAGGTAGGTGAACGTTGCAGTGCGTTGAAGGCCGATATGTAGACTCAGGCAAAACAGAATGCGGTACATTTGCCAGGACTAATCTTATCCGATGACATGAACCACAGAACGAAGCTTTTTGTCTTGGCGGCTAAGAATCAGTTGGAACACGATGCGCCCACTTAATACAAACATGAAAACAATAAATTACTTAAAGCGTTAGAGCACGGAACAACGGATTCCGATTGTCATGGTGTGACGCTGTCCACCGAATGTTGCCTTTGAATGATGACTTTCATGAATGCGTCCATACGCGTCAAACCGAAATAGATAAGGCGTTTTTTGATACTCAATTCACTCTGTACCGGAAGATTAAGATCACACAGTTTAAAGTAACGACTTTCTAATCGCGAAACATGCAATATATGCATGTTGCGAGTACTTCTTCCAAATGTTCCTTTGTTGCATAACGACGGTGGCATCTTAACCAAGGGGGTATGCTTCTCAGTAACAAAGTTACTTTCTGTTATAATTTTATGAGACGGTCACATTTGGAATGACGTCATACAAACACATTTGCTGGAAGCTAGGATATGACAGTTTATCAGGCAGAAACGTGCTTTGACTGTACTGAAGACCTCACAGCGATGACTAACGAGAATCGTAAGTGCTTTATTTCATGTAATATTCAAAAACCGGCTAAAATCCCTAGGAGTGTACAGTGAAAGGCATGGTCATCCGCGGGATGACCTCATCCTGACCTCCCATAAGTTGTAAAAGCCTAATCATGTTTGCCGCCACCTGATGCTTAAACATAACGCTAAACTGAGGGGCCACCAGCTGAAACTGGCCACCCAATACAACCAGTCGGAGTGTCTCCGGAAGTTGTTCCGTTTCGAATTCCTCAGCTGTCGAACGCTATTCTGACTTCACCTCGCTATACGCTTTTAAAAACCACTCGATGATACACTTCATCATTTGCCTTACGTGGCATGACTCTCATTCGTCGGGTGAGGACCACACACAAACACTGTGCACCCTAGCCCCCACGAAATCGGGGTAGGCATTTGTGTGTTTAACGATTATCACTGGGAATCCACAGATTCACACCATACCTTGTCGATAAAGTTTCTTACTTTTTATTTAAGTATTTTACACAGACCATCCTACGGGACTTGTTAAGCATTATCCTTTTTACCCGCCTTATATCATTGTTCCATGGTCCTCTGGAGGATGATGGATTCACTACCACATAGCCCGAAAGTAAGGGATGTTTCTTTTTGCTTTTCTGCCGTCGCATGTTGCATACACTTGCGCAAACTCCCGCGAATGTTGCGAGGTTAGACTCAAGAGGGCAGCAAAACAAAAATCAGTTACACTTCGCTGCCTTTCCTTGCTTACAGTGACACTCGGTACATTAGCTGTTGCCGTACCTCATTTTCAGTCGACCTAGTCGGTTGCTACCTATTGTTAAACCTAAACCACCCCCATGGAGAAACTGTAGATTCCAGTAACTTTTCCGTAACGATTATTCGGTAGGTGTGCCGGTAAAGGTTAGAGTGTCGGGCGGCTTCATTTGCCCCCTACTTCAGTCATTGCCTTATCAAGAGTGTAATTGCTGAGAGCAAGTATAGCTGTTTTCACACTGTGTATCAGAATGTAGCCTTTCGCTTGACTTTAACTTCTGGAAGTCGGGTAATTTATAGACACCGGCGGAAAGATTCCCTGAGTTGATGAAGACGGGCACCATTTTGTTCATATGGAATGAACTGTCACAGGAACAAATTATTCAGAGCAGCGAAATTTTTAGGGCTCCTTTCCATCCACCTATGTAATGGGTATTAAAAACATATCAGAAGAAAATCAAAGAGCCCAAAGCATTGTGCATCAACAATATTGTGGTACCGATCTGAACTGAATTTCAATATTATCGACAATCCAGCATCCTCGGTGTTGATTCTCTTTGGTGCCTCGTGCACCTGGCATGTGGCGACGTGTGTTTAATAACAATAGTTTGCCACCTACCTCCTCTGGGCACCTTGGAAGTGGGTCACTACTATACTGCTGCTGTGATCTCTCTCGCAGTGCTGTCATACAGTCACGTCTTTCTGGTGAGGGACTTCAACTTGCACGCTCTCCAAGTCCTAGCTTCTCCCAATAAGCACTTTGAGGCGAACTTGCAGTTGGTACTGTTCGATGTACTGCTACACCACCATGTCAATTCTATCACAGGATTCAAAAAGGGTGATGAACCGTCTGTATTAGATCTCCTCCTCACCAACTAGGAACAGCTGGTCGATACTGTAACCATGGGTGCACTACTTGGCTATAGTCATCCTGCGACACTTCCCTTCCGTTTCATCTCCTCCGCGGAATATAGGTTGGGAAACACATCGTTACCCATTACGACACACACACTCTCCGACTACGTTCAAACAGCCAACCGGCGTTTCGTAGCCGAGCAACTTTCCAATGTCACCTGGAGGGATTTGGTCACCAAGTTCTTCGAGCTAGTGGCAAATGAGTAGGAAACCAAAATCTTTCGCCTGAAGCAATCGAAGTCCTTACTGAGGAACAGTACCAGAAAAAAAGTAAAACCTCCGTAACTTGGCTAGTCAAGTAATCAAACCAAAGCTTCCACAGGGGTCTGGACCCAGACGTTGTACATGGTGAACGTTTAAATAATGAAGCAAGCACAGTCAAGTTAAAGAGGTGGTATTAAAGTACTCTGTGAGACGCACGTAAAAGAGCTCTCTACTTTGCCAAGTCTAGGATGCCTATATTAATAAACAAAATCATTGTGTCAAATTGGTCTGCGAAGATAATCTGATATAATTCAATAACAAGCTTAAAACGCTCTACGGGCGCGTTAACAAACTCCCAAAACTGCACTGCGGAATCCCAGTTCCAGGTGCAGCAGATGGTTTGGTGCTAACTACACAACAGGCGGTATTTAAGCTTCGGCAGCAGTGTACCCGCACTTTCCAGAGTGAATCGTAATCTCATCCAGCTTTTACCCAGCACCCAATGTCCCAGGATCAAACCACGTACATTCACTTTAGTGAATGTCATGAAAAATAACTATTCTCTGCACACGCAAAGCTCGCGCCCAAACGCCCGAACGTCAAAAAACACTAAATATAGCCACCGCGGACAGCGTCGAACCGTTAGCCCGGTCCTTTCAATGATCCTTTGATGAAATGCAGGTTCCCACAAGGTGGAATCATGAAATGGTCACTCCCATCTACAGGGGTGGCAATCGTACGGGGCCATCGAACTCATCCCGGTGCCATCCGAAGTGTTGTTGTTTTGTACTCAGATGCGTTAATAGTGTAACTTGAGATTAACAGTTCCATAACACCTCGGTGGTACTTATTCCGCCGAAGTCACTAATGCAGTACAAACTTGCTATTTGCCTTAGAAAGCTGGACGCAGTTTGTCGATTTTAACTTTGTGCGTTCTCACAGATGGTCATATTGATCCGTCGCTCGTGCTTTCTTATGGATTATCCATCACTAATTTGCTACACACCATTGTGCGTACCCTCATTCGACTCGCATGTGTCGGCTCCACAGGGTATTTTGACTTATTTTTAGCGCCTCAACTTCTGACCCAAGTCAGCGTTTGTGACGGCTTTGTCGCTGATAACTAGGCGTGAAACACGTCAGTTTTCAAGTCACACTAGAGTTTTGTACACTCCTTTCAAAGCGTTTTCTGGAGGCGATCAAGTCGTCTGGAAATCGTGCCTCTCTAATACCATTTGCTGTTGCTGCCTCGCATTTTGCGTTACGGTGCTTCTCGACCAGCATTCAATCGTTGTTCGATATCCCAGTCTTTGTGACCTTTGCTGCAGTGCGCCTTCATAACGCATCACACAGACTGCGGCAATCACATCGACCGCTCACTTGACCTTTGTAATCACAGAACTCACCTGACCGATGTGCGCCGCTGTCAGTCGGAAAAGTAAAAAACTGCAAGCTACTCAGTGGGTCAGGTAACGGCACCACGCTAAATGGCAGAAATCAAACAAATGCGAATCCAAAAGGGCTGCAAGCGAAGTCTCTACGGGTCGGGATAATATAATAGGTAGTTCAAATCAATGTTAAGCTGCTCGTAATTTTTCGAATGGTATCAGTCAAAGCGTGCTAGTTTAGCCGAACAAAAGTCGCGAGAACGAAAGAGCTTCCAAGCCGTCCTTTGGTTTCTAATGCGTGTTCGACTATCCTATTTGTCCAATGTATGCGTATCCTAGTGCGACTGATTAGCAGCAGAAGACGAGCAACGAATGAACGCTAAGCTTACTTTAATGGAAGCGAGTCTGCATCAGGAAACCATAGTGACCTCCAAGCAAAGGGTGCAAAATTTGCTTTCTCTGAACCATAATCACTCAACTCCCTATCGCCGTTATGTCTTCCAACCTTGACAGAACGTCAGGCGGAGATTTACTGCAGATCCGAGAGTTAAGCAGTATTCACCAGCCCTCATTATCTGCAACTCAAATGTCTCTTGTCGAGCCGAAGTCCCTCAGACGATCGTTCACGTATTCAGTGATTGCTGTCAAGGTCAGCCTAGATGCCACCCTTGCGGTCGATTCGGTTACAAGTACCGCAAACTCGAGCATAGTGACGAACA